TTCTAGATGCTTCTTTTCAATGCTTCTGGAAGCTTCTGGATGCGTCTGGATGCTTCTGAAAGTTTCTGGATACTTCTGGATGCTTGTGGATGCTTCCAGATGCTTCTTCTGGAAACTTTTGGAAGCCTCTGCATACTTCCGGAAACTTCTGGAAACTTCTGGATACTTTCTTTAATTATTAAAAAACTTCCGTGATGTTGACACAAACCAGACTTAAGAAAATGAAACAAACGAAAAAAGTTGCACTTGTTTTTCCGCTGGAAAATAGCACTTGTCAACGAAATTCTGCCTGTGTGTTGTCACCTGTCAGCTGATTGCTCATGTTATGGCATGCTATGACTCCAGACTCCTGAACTGTTTGCTGTGGTAGTATAGTTTGTTTCGTTTTTAAGACATGTGAAATTAGGAACAATGCTAAAACACTTTTTAGCATGCGTTCGATGTTGGTTGCTAATGTTTTGTCCAATACTATATATATATATATATATATATATATATATATATATATATATATATATATATATTATATATATATATATATATACATGTACAGAGGCGTAACTAGAGGGGAGCATAACCTCGTAAGATGGGGGGGGGGGGTCCTGGAGCTTAGAGGGCGCGGAGATTTACAAATATACAAAAAGAGAAAAGATTCTAGATTATTTCTCAAATTTATAAAATAAATATTTTTCAAAGACTTAACCGTGTTGTATTAACTTAATATAAAAAGAAAATATTGGATATATCATTCTTAAATATATTTTGAAAAAATTTAAAGTTAGAGAAAAAATTTAAGGAGAGCTTCTTTATTTTTATGGCGGGGGGGGGGGGGGGAAGGCATAAATTTATAGTTACGCCACTATATATTTTTTTATATTAATTAGAAAAATTAACAGTTTTTGTGCAAATAGCATAGAATGAAAAAAAAAGTTGAGTTCCAGATAAACTTTTTTTGCTTGTAAATGCGATTGCTTATTAATTTTGTGTAAAACTTACTGATTTTTTTTTGTAACGCTTGAGATTATATTTTAACTAAAAAAACGACTTATTTATACTGCAATTAATGTTTTATTTTTGATAAAGCAGAATTTAAGTATTATAAATGTGAATGTAAATAACTAATTGAACATTGTTTTAAGGCACAGTTATTGAAAAAAAAAAATAAAAATAAGTGATTGTTTTTAAATAAAATATTAGTTTCTTATAAAAAGGTCTTAAACAAAAAATAAATTAATAGTATCGGCGGGGATCAAACCGTCAGTGCAAACCAGCGAAATTTAATTTGGCTGCTGTAACTGGATATTAGTAATTTGATATCTCTAATAAAAATTTCTCTTATTAATTTGACATCGCTATGCTATAATGAAACCAAAACCTGAAATCCTCAAAACCCGAAAACGTACTGGGAAACATACATAAGCTATGATGTAGTTAGCTCTGTTTTGTTTCGAAATTGTTTTTTGGTCAATCTTGCGTAATTTGCATTTTATTTGATAATATGAACGTAACACAAAAACTAAGAATTGCAACCGTATTTAGAAATTACAATTGGGTTAAAGGACTGCGTGAAAATTTTAAAAATGTATCACTAGAAGAATTTCATAGTTGATGAAATCATGATTGCTTTTAAAGAAAAGTCTTTACAAAACAATATCTTTCAAAGAAACCAACCAAAAGGGGAAACAATTTTTGGGATAAAAGTGGATTTCCTTATGATTTTGATGTTTACCAGGGATAAGAAACAGATCAACTCAATATGTCATCCAGTTTACCATCTGGTCATAACTTTAAACTATTTTTTAACTTTTTTTTACTTCACTAACTCTGTTGGGTGTACTTAAAGAGCAAGCAATTTGGTTTGTAAGCACCATTGGTAAGATGGTATGACAACAAAGCTGTCACTCTGGTATCGCCATATCTTGAAATTTAACCGGTTCAAACTGTTAAACGTTTCTACAGAAAGTATTGTTTTTAAAACATATAACAATTGATGGAATTGATAAGCTTGATATAATTTGATTGTTATACAAAGCTAACCTTAGGTATTATTGTTGGTATTTATACATTTGAGTACATAAATTAGTGATTGCACTAGTAAATGTATGGTTTCTATACCGCAGAGATTTAAAATGAATAAACCCAAAAGCATAGGATATGACACTGATAAAGTTTCAAGCAGAGGTGGCAACAAGTCTAATGAAAGCACAGAAATGTAAGGTTGGCAGACCATCTTTTGAAACTATAATATCACCAAAGACTAAGAGATCTGTGGTTGGCAACCCAACGAAACACGTAAAAACCATCAACTAGCATACTCTGAGAATAGACAGCAATGCAAAAATGCCCTGCATGGTTTTCAAACATTCAACAACGATATCTTTTCTTTTTTTATATTACTTGTAACATATGTATCATAATTATTGTAATAAAGAACAAAAAGAAAAAAGAAAAAAAAAAATCTCTTTTTGAAGTTTTAAAAAGACTTTTCTCCGTTACAATTTGTAACAGCAGTTGAGAAAAACATCCTTAGAACAACATTGACGTATGAAACTGGATGCAAGTTTCTTTGATTAAATAACTAGAAGTAAACTGAGATGATTTGTTTTTTTGGATTTACTAATAATAGTTTCAACTGAATTGGGAACAAAGTTCTTGTAATGCAATTTTTTATTCAGAATATAAATGTCCGCATCGTTTAGGTAAATTTAAAAAAGTTCTTTAGCGCACGTTGTGATCACAACAGAATATATCTAAAAGACGGACAAAGAATCTAAAACAAGAGAAACGTAAGCTTGTCTTCACCTTTTAATCTCAGTTACAAGTTGATGCATGGTGACCTGAAATTTTAACCTCAGAAACCATTTTTCCTTTATTAATTAAAGTCTGATACCTCAATTTTTCGTTTACGGGCTCAACAGAGCAGTGACGGACCTAGGGGGATAGGGTCTATTCTGGATCCGTCACATAGTTTCATCCCAGGCGTGTACAATGCAACAAAAAAATTTTCTTTTGCCAACATAAGTTAAAAAAAAAATTTAACTTTTATAAAAAAAAGTTCTTTAAAAAGTTTTTGGTTTGTCTCAAGTAGATTTGAGACAAAACAAAGAATTAAAATAAAATAAACATAATAAAATGAATAATTTAATAAATAGTTAAATAATAAAATGAAAGAAACATATTTTTAACAATATTATAGTGTAATATATCCAAATGAATAAATACAAATGCAGAAGCTTTATGATGCAATTTTGTTCAACTTGTTTTAAATTTACAAACCTTTTAGATTTACAAATTCAAAAGGTTTATAGAATGTAAAACAAGTAAAGAAAAACTACATCAAAAGCTATTGTTTTTTGTATTCATATACTTTTAGATACATTACATCTTTGTGTATATGTATATTAAAATTTATTTTTGTGTGTGTATATATATATATATATATATATTAGGGTGGTCCATAAAACAACTTTTTTGAGAAAAACCTGCTGACACCCCCTAAATGTGTTTTATCTAATGCAAAAACACTAGGTTTAAAATTTTTTTGAACAAAAATTATTTTTAGGGGTAGCTCAAGGCCCTCAAAAATTTGACGGGTCCCTAATATTTTGAAAAAAAAACTTTTTCTAAAGTATGTCAACCTGGTACTCAAAAGAAGCGATATTGTATAAAAACTTCAAAAATAATAATCATTTTACATAAAAAACATGCCTAAAAAAAATTATTCTCAAAAAACCTGAAAATATTGACTTTTTTTATTTTCAGCTTAAAAACAATAGTTTTTATGCATTTATACCTAAAAAAATTATTTTTATAAAAAATTATTATCATTTTTAAATTTTTTATATAATTTTGCTTATTTTGAGTACCAGGTTGACATACTTTAGAAAAAGTTTTTTTTTCAAAATATTAGGGACCCGTCAAATTTATGAGGGCCTTGAGCTACCCCTAAAAATAATTTTTGTTCAAAAAAATTTTAAACCTAGTGTTTTTGCATTAGATAAAACACATTTAGGGGGTGTCAGCAGGTTTTTCTCAAAAAAGTTGTTTTATGGACCACCCTAATATATATATATATATATATTTATATATTACACTTTTATTTTATTTTTTATTTATTTTATAAGGGACTTAGTGGTAAGACTGTCGTTTACTTGTCCCAGCCATGTATTAAAAAATATAATGTATAAAAAATTGGGAAGAGATAACTTCCCTAGTAGCAAACAATATTGGTGCAAATTGGGGCGATATTGTTTACAATATTGGCGCAATATTGTAAACTATATCGATACAATATTGCAATGTGAACATTTTGCCAATATTGGCGCTACAATATTGCGCCAATACTGTAAAGTCAATATTGGCCAATATTGGCAAAATGTTCACACTGCAACATTGGTCCGATATAGTTTATAATATCGCGCCAATAATGGGGATATTATACTGGCCAATATCGGCCTAATATAGTTTACAATATTATCTTGATATATATAATTTATATAACTAAAATAAGGCAATATATTGAGTATTTTCGATTAAATTTTTATTATTAAAATATAATAAAAAATATTGCCTTCTACAAATTTGTAATAATTAAAATTACTAACAGTTTTCTTGTTTAAGTGATACTATAGTACTAGGCTGCATTATTCTTTTGAGTCAAACAGGTTATAGTCTAGGAGATGACAATAATCATAGGACACGCTTTAAGAAAAAAAAAATTCGAAATCATTAAATTTATTTGAAGTTATATGAAACAGATACAAACGAAAAAAAGAGGTATAGAGTTTTCTAAAACCAAAATATAACAAAATAAAATCAATGTTATTTCAATGTACAAAAAACGTTATTTACACGTACAAAAAATATGTATATATGTATATGTATATATATATATATATATATATATATATATATATATATATATATATATATATATATATATATATATATATATATATATATATATATATATATATATATATATATATAAACTACTGTATTATACTCTCATATATATATATAAACTACTCTCATATATATATAAACTACTGTATTATACTCTCACTATGAGATAGTGGGCATCGACTTTTATTATATTGGCGATACTTATTTCATTGCTGAATATTGGGCGTTGCTAAGTTACGGTTCTATTTTTCTTCCATAATCTCTATTAATGGCTGTCGCCAGAAAGCTGCCAACTTTTTCTTTAATACTTTTGTCAGTAGCGATTTCGAAATGAATGAATACAACGATAAAAAACTGAACGCAACTCTACAAAATGTTTTTTAAATATCATCACAATATAATTTTGAAATATATAACTTTTCACGTATAAATATTGTAAAGTAATTAGCTTTTATTAAAATATGTATTTATTAAAAGGAAATGGGATGTAGAATACAAATATTGTGCTTTACCTATAACGATCTTGCAGGACGTTTTTGTTTCATTCCATACACTGAGTATGAAAAACATACTTCTTTGACCATTAGCTGTATTAAGATTGCCGCTGTAAGTTGTTTCTCATCTCCTCCAACCGAAGTAAGAAAGTTCATCTAAAATAAGAAAACAAATGTAATATAATTGGTTGTACTAAAAGTATAATGGTTCCTCATGTGTAAGTATTAGACGGTTTTCCATAATGTGATTCTTATTAAAATATGACATTATGGAAGAGTAAAAGCAATTGGTTATAAATAAATTATGACATCTGTAGCGGTGAATACACCCTACAGATGTCAAAGATATCTGAGATTAGTAGTCATTGCTACACAAAATACATTGCTAACTGGGCATAAAAGATATAAATCACAATAAAATGTAATAAGCATTTATATAAAATATTCTGATATACAACATAATTATAGTCAATCACGTATCATATTGTATTATTTGTTTGCACGTTTCATATAAATGTATCATATATTTTAAAAATTAGAAACTTTAATAGTACATGGTACTATTTCCAAAAACTATTAACTAATATCAATTCACTGATATATACTATTGATTCATAAGGTGTCTTTGATATATACTATTGATTCATAAGGTGTCTCCATAATTCTTCTTCTAGGTTTAAAAGATCTTTTTTCATCTATAACTGGCAAATAAATTCAATAAATTGAAAGAGATAGTCAAGCAAAGCTCTGATGGAATCACTTAACCCTAAAACACTAAAGATTTCTTCAATCTTTAAGAAACTGAGAGACAATCTCATCAGTGTCACTTTTTTTGTAACCTGCATCCTTTTAAGCTGGAGGCACAGATAATTCCGTTCTAAGGCAGTCTCATAACTGTCAAAAAAAAGTATAAAGAAGAGATGAAACCATACTAAACAATCAACATTTACTATATTTGAGTCAAACATAGCTGTTTAGATAAAAAAACAAAGACAATACTGTAAATAAAACAAAAACAATATTGTAAATAAGACAATTACAAAAAAATTCGTATTTTCAGCTGCTTTCAGTTACTTTTAAAAGCGTGACTTTACGTATGGCAGTTTAAAGGCAAGATGCTTGCAAGTGATTTGGCCAATACACCAAACTTTCATTGATAGGCCATGAAAAAGAATTTACATTCATAGCACACATATTGTTTTTTCATTGAAAAATTTAGCCAGAGCAAAATTTGTAAACTTTATTACCACCTTCAGTTTAATCAGCTAAAAAATAATCACAAATAAATTTATGATATAAAAAAACTTCAGATTAACTTTCTTTTTTGAGATTACCTTTCTTTTTTTTTAACTAAAAATATTAGTCTAAAAATTATTTAGATTCATTTCTTAATGTTTAATGTAATCGCTTTTTATTGCAAGTAGAGTTCAACTATTGGTTAGTAAAATACAGTGAATTTTAAAGTTTGCGCGGTTTGGAAAGATTTCTATGATAAATTTTTTTTATTTAAATATGACATTAAGGAAGATAAACAACTTGAGGCTTGAAGTAAATATTTACCATTTTGCAATTGTACATTTGATGAACCCAAGATGCATCTAGATGTTTCTTTAATGTCGTGACAGATGTTGAATACTATTTCAGATGGTAAACTATTCTACAAATTTGTGAATTCCATATTAGAAAATTTATAAGCATGATCGCATGTTGCTAAGTGGGAGTTAGTCATAATGGAGGAATAAATACTAACTAAATATATAATCATATATTAATATTAAGAAGTGGCCATATTAACACGCATCCTATTACAACTCAGATTAACTACATAATGGTCTGTAATTACAATAATAAATATAATGGCTGCGCAGATGACATTATTCTGACACAGGTGTTGATAAATACTGAATGGTATTGTAAATTTATATTATAATAGGTGTTGATAAATACTGAATGGTATTTTATGAGGAAACAAAATGGTTGCAACTACAATTATAAAGATTGTGAATGCATTTGTAAGTTTCTGCCATGTCATTACATAAGAAACGATAGCTCATGCTAGTTAAATTTAGTCTCAGTAGTCTTTGGTTGTGAGTCCAGTCTGGCCAAAAACAAATTTACTAGACTAGCATAGAACATTTTAAATTAATTGTTGATCTTTTTAAAGTCTAGGATAGTAGACAGAGCTGCAAGAATCAAGGTGAGGACGAACAAAGAAAATAAACAAAGTACGAAATGTCAAGATATTGAGATTGACAAATGATCTTTTGATCATTCCTACAACTTTATTAGCGGTGTTATTCTTAGTACTTATAAAATAAAAGTCAAATTACTGTCAATGAAGATCCCTTTATTGATGAGAGAGTTTTTAATATTAATTGAAGTATTGAGATTTTTATAAACGAGTATATAAATGAATTTTGTATTTGTTGGTCCTAAGGGCATTGTTGGTCTAAAGGGAAAATTTTGTATTTGTTGGTCCTGAAGGTATAACTTTACATTTTTTTACTTTAAAACTTAGTTTTCATAGTTTTTCCCAGTTTGCTATAATGTCCATACTTTATTGCAGGTTATTGCATGGTGAGCTATCAAAAAGCAAACTGTATAACTTAGAATCATCTGTAAATACAGATACAACATCTAAAACCAAATTAGAAATTTTTTTATTATATATCATAAAAGTAAATAATGGGGGACCCCACTATTTACTATTATCCATTCTGAGTATGTACCATTAACAATGATACTCTAATGCCGATCTCTTAGGTAACATCAAAATCCGATTGTAGAGTTAGTCATTTATTCTATAAGCTTTTAATTTTAGAAGTAGGAGTTGAGAAATGTGTTAAAAGATTTCGATATATCTGATATAAATTTTCTAAATCAGTTTTATTCTCCAAGGCTAATGTCCAACATCAATCCTCACTAAAGTTTATTGCATTTTCAAAGTCGCATTTATATAATTTTTAGTATTTTCAGCATTACTTATTGTGTGAATTTTACTTTAATCTTGTTTAACTACTTTTAACATAACATGATGTAGCAGATCTAGTTTAACTTATTGATTTGTTTATTACCTATAACATTGCATTAAACTATTGCATTAAATAAAATGCTATATAAAATTAAAGACATTATAAAAAAAACTTTTTTAATGCAAAATTATTATTTTATAATAAATTTATGTGCATGTGAAGGTCAATAATATATATATATATATATATATATATATATATATATATATATATATATATATATACACAATAATATATATATATACACAATAATATATATATATATATATATATATATACACATACACAATTATATATATATATATATATATATATATATATATATATATATATATATATATATATATATATATATACAAAATTATATATATATATATATATATATATATATATATACACAATTATATATATATATATATATATATATATATATATATATATATATATACATACACAATTATATATATATATATATATATATATATATATATATATATATATATATATATATATATATATATATACATATATATATATATATATATATATATATACATATATATATATATATATATATATATATATATATATATATATATATATATATATATATATATATATATATATATATATATATATATATATATATATATATATATATATATATATATTATTGATGTTATTATATTTGTATATATAAAATCTTTTACTCACTTTTAAAAGTGAGTAAAAGATTTTTAAAAAGAAATGTTAATATATGATACATAAAAAAAATTAGATTTTGACGCTGCAGAAAAGTATACATACACAATTATATATATATAAAAGTATACATACACAATTATATATATATATATATATATATATATATATATATATATATATATATATATATACATATATATATATATATATATATATATATATATATATATATATATATATATATATATATATATATATATATATATATATATATATATATATATATATATATATATATATATATATATATATATATATATATATATATATATATATATATATATATATATATATATATTATTGATGTTATTATATTTGTATATATAAAATCTTTTACTCACTTTTAAAAGTGAGTAAAAGATTTTTAAAAAGAAATGTTAATATATGATACATAAAAAAAATTAGATTTTGACGCCGCAGAAAAGTATATAAACAAACTTGCAATCCTTGAATTCAACCAATGTCTAAATAAGTTCCTTGCAAATACTTGGAAATAAGTATGTTGCATGAAGTTTTTAAATCAATTAAAAACTAGAACATTATAAAGGTGAAGAAACTATCCAAATCGAACAAACCTTTAAAGAATTATTAGCTTTTAAGTAAAAAAAAAAACCTATAAAGAATTATTAGCTTTTAAGATACATTAATTTGGTGATGAAACTGCGGTACGTCCTGTGTCTGCCTGGTGTTTTAAGAAGACTAGAGGGGCACCAAATCATTTTTTACCAATTAATAATACATAATTTTTCCAAAAACTGTATATATTTTTTTATATGCAAAATTTTTTTTATGAATTCTAGATTCCCAGAAAATATAAGAGGTCTATCTTGAGTTGAGGGTGGATGTGATGGTAAGGGTTTAACTCACCAAAACTTTTACCTTGAATAAAACAAGTGAAACTAATAAAATATCAGAAATTAATTTTACATATATTAAACATAGGTGCTTACACAGATTTAGGGGTGAGACATTTACCCTTGCCACCCACTCACCTTACTCTTTCTTCTCACCTCCACCAAATAAAAAAAAAAATAGTATTAGGAGTACTCCATAATTAAATATCATTAAAAAAATATTAGTATAACTTAACAAGTAATATTTTCAACAAGTTAATAAAACAAATTTTCTACTACCTCTGGTCCTTTGACATAACCAGAAGTACCAAAGATAAGAGGAGAAGCGGCACTAGTATTTATATTTTTTAAAACACATATTTCTATACTTCAATTTAAAAAAAGATGTTTTAAAAATGTAAATAGTTTTTTGTGATTTAAAACAAGAGATATAAAAGCATTTATATAGTGCAATACCAGTATTTTAAGCATTATCTCATAAGTAAGATAATGGTTGAAATCCTCTTCTTTTAAAACTGAAAAAACATTAAAAATGCAAAAAAAAAAGTTTTAAAATAAAATTTGTAACTAATTTATGTTTTCAAAGCATAAGGATAACCTATACAAATCATAATTATATTTTAAATTAGTAAATTAAAGATAATCTTATTTATGTGCAAATAATAATTTAAAGTCTGATTTTATTTTGGTAGACATAATAACTAATTTTTGCATTAGGTGGCCTCCCTTGCTTACATCACTGAACATACCAATTAACTATCTATATTGTGCAGTTTTGATTTTGGCTGTCTTTTCTTTAAGTGTCGCTGTAATAGTAATGGTGAAACATCTGTTATACTATCAACTTTAAACACCATCGTTTGCAATAAGACAAACAGCAGTCAAGTTTATAAGCTGCTTAACAACAGAGCATAAATTTATTACTAGTTATTTAATATTTCAGATAAGGCGATTTGTCAAAAAATGTTTCAATTTGCAAACAATTGTCTGTAAAATATCTTTTCTGAAAGTATGTAAAATTTGACAAAAAACAGAAATTCTATTATTTCTAATGATTGATACACTATTGCAGTTTGATTTTGTTTAAAGACACAACAAATTCTTCTAATAATCATTTTATATAAAGATTACTAGTTTAAAGTTTATGGTTTAAAAACTATCATTTTTTAACAAAAAAAATAAAAGTACATACTTTCAAAGGTTTTTTTTAATAAACTTTTTTAATTTGTGCTTTTACAAATTGTTTTTATTATTTTTGAAATTTTGATATACATGTTTTTTTTTTTTTATAAGCATATGAAATTTTTGAAGCAGGCTCGGGTATGCTTAAGCAAAAAGTTAAAAAAGGCTCAAAAATATGCTTAAACTTAAGCATATTTATAATAAAATATGCTTATTTCAATACTTTCTAAAAATGCGTGCGTTACTAAAGGTTATTGGTTATAATAAAAATAAAAAGTCGACTTTAGTACAGTATAATAAAAAATAAAAGATATATACTATATACAAATGTTATCAATCAAATAATAAAATGAATAAAATTTGAAATAAATGAAATGATAAAATAAATAAAATTTGAATTTTTTAAATGGTTTATCGAGGCTAAGGAATATGCTTACATATGCTAATTTTTTTCCAAATCTGAGCCTCCATATGCTTATAAACGTTATGGTTATAAAAAAAAAAATGTATATATATATATATATATATATATATATATATATATATATATATATATATATATATATATATATATTTTAACAGAAACACCATTAAACTTAGCTACTCGTGTATGCTAAATATATGTTAAATGTATACGTGTATGTTAAATCAGTCATTAATTCGCATAATCAAAATATTTTATACAATCATGAAAAAACAACAAAAACTTGCAACTGCATCAATAAATCTACCTGCGTTATGAACAACCAGTGTCTAAGTAAGAACATTGTGTATCAAGCTACTTTTTCATCCAATAAACCAGATTACACAGATAAAGTTTATATTGGTATTAGCGAGACCCCTTTCAAGTTAAGGTATGCAAACCATTTAAAATCTTTTAATTTAATTAAATACAGCAATGATACGGAGTTATCTGAAGAAATTTGGAAACTAAAAGAAGAAAACTTTTCGTTTGTTATTAAATGGAAAATTATCAAGCGCTGCCAAACATATAATCCTGCGTCCAAAATTTGCAATCTTTGTCTTCATGAAAAGTATTTTATTTTAACGCATACAGGGGGAAACCTGTTGAACAAAAGGAACGAGTTGGTTTTAAATTGTAGGCATAAAAATAAATTCCTTCTTTCGTTTTATGATACTGGCGATTAGCTGATTTATATAAGATTTTCTTTGACGTTCTCCTTTTTTTGTCTATAGAGACGTCAGATGGCGCTCCACTGTATTTTGTAATTTTATTAACGGTTTGTTTGTTTTTGATATGGTACATGTCTGATGATTGCCGTATAGACATGAAACTATTAGTCCCATGAAAAGTTGTTTTTTCTATATGTAAATAAATAAATATATATATATATATATATATATATATATATATATATATATATATATATATATATATATATATATATATATATATATATATATATATATATATATATATATATATATATATATATATATATATATACCGCTCTAGTTGGAAAGTTGTTTACTATCTTTATTATTGAGCACTCATAACCGAAATAGAGTTTTGTATTACTATTGTAATACAAATTTAACATCAATCGATATATATATATATATATATATATATATATATATATATATTTATATATATATATATATATATATATATATATATATATATATATATATATATATATATATATATATATACCGCTCTAGTTGGAAAGTTGTTTACTATCTTTATTATTGAGCACTCATAACCGAAATAGAGTTTTGTATTACTATTGTAATACAAATTTAACATCAATCGATATATATATATATATATATATATATATATATATATATATATTTATATATATATATATATATATATATATATATATATATATATATATATATATATATATATATATATTTATATATACATATATATGAATCCGAAAAAAACACCCAATAGCATTCCTTCAAAAATAATAATCTTAGCATCTCAAGAATTGAGCTTCCCGTTTAATATTATAATAAATCAATCTTTTCAATCAGGGATATTTCCTGACTTATTCAAAATTGCAGAAATTGTTCCAATTTAAAAAGCCTTGTGTATGGCTTTAGATCATAAACAGTTTGCTGGTGGAGTGTTTGTTGATTTGCAAAAAGCATTTTATACTGTCAACCATTTGACAATTCTATTATCAAAGCTGTTTCATTATGGTGTAAGAGGAATTGTTCTGAACTGGTTTAAGTCATATCTAAACCATCGTCCAAAAAGTGTTATTATTGGTAATATCTCATCCACTACTAAGTTTACATCTATATATATATATATATATATATATATATATATATATATATATATAATATATATATATATATATATATATATATATATATATATATATATATATATATATATATATATATATATATATATATATATATATATATATATATATATATATATAAAACTCTGAAAATAAAAATATAAAACTCTAAAAATAAAACATAAAAATGTATAAATGTTCATCTAGTTGCAATTAAATACCCTAATTTTCATCATCCTATAAAGTGTATATGGCTCTAAAAGATTGTGGCATTGTTATTAAACCATGTAATAAATATACAATAAAATATTTCCACTGCAATCACCCCTGCTTAATTCTCTTCATCCATTTTTTTTTTCCTAATTTTCTTTATTTTACTTTAATGCATATTCAATATCTCTATCTTCTAAAATTCTATGATTAAAAATTCTGTTACACAAAGTTCTCCTAGGATTGTACTACGTTTCTTCTTTCCTAGTCGTTAAACTTCTATTTATTTTTTCTTTTTTTTTTATTTGTTCCATTTTTTGTAACAATAATATTATGATTCTTATATTTTTAATTTGCACTTTTTATTATGATAATCACTGTTTGCTGCAAATGTTTTAATTTTAATTATAGTAGTAAAATATATATTGATTATACTGTTTTATTTTACTGTATTTAATATTGTTATTAATATTATTATTATTATTAATATTTATTTCTATTATTATTAATAATATTTATTATTGTTATTCATTATTATTATAGTTATTATGCTATTATTTATTCCATTATAGGTCTTTACACGTCATCAGTTTACAACTGTTTGTAAATGTCCCAAAAAATTGTATATATATACAGTATTATTCAAGTGAAAATAAGTATATATTAATTATTTGAGTTAATTAAGCGCATTTGGAGGAAATACCAATTTATGTTCTAATTAATTTGGTAGATTCAATGCCACATAGATGCAATGCTGTCATTTCAGCAAAAGGTTTTTCAACCAAGTACTAGAGTTATGCACAGATTGTATACATTTTGAATCAGAATGTAACATTGTGTAACATATATATAACAGAAAACTTCATAAAAATGCTGAAAATGTATTTACTTTTTCGAGGCAATTTTGTTTCTAACAACATATTTAGTTTGACCAATTACTTTTGAGCCAATCAGTTTCATTCTTTTATAAAAGTTTAATAAGTTTAATAGAGTAATAACTCCCAACCAATTGTTTTGTTTTTATAATTGTCGTATAATTTGACATGCAAAATTTCATTTAAAAATATTAATTTTAATGAGAAAATATAACAAAAAAGGTGTTTGTCCAATTACTATTGGACGCTACTGTATGTATGTATGTGTATATATATATATATATATATATATATATATATATATATATATATATATATATATATATATATATATATATATATATATATATATATATATATACATACATACACTGCATTTAGCCCCCCCCCCTCCATTTTCTAAACAGTTTTGAAAAAACTTTTATAACTCCATCACAATCAAACATCACCATGGAAAAGTATATCCATAAAACTGTTAAAGATACTATTGCATACTATTTTTCAATGTGTGTGTGTGTATATATATATATATATATACACACACACTTACTAAAGCGTATTTTTATAAGCATTTGCTCATTTTTTTTGCTTACCTTTATCTATACATCTTTTTTAGAAAAAGAAGAAAAAAAACAAAGAATGATGAATGAAACAATTGCTGCCCCATCCCAAACCCTCAGTCGATGTAGCAGCACTCCACTGCGAGTCAGGCTATTTGTCAGTCGATGTATTTACTGAAGCCCCCAGCAGCAGGCTATATCAATATGACATCAGATTGCTTATTTTAGTACGCAATACTATTTGTATATATATATATATATATATATATATATATATACATATATATATATATATATATATATATACATATATATATATATATATATATATATATATATATATATATATATATATATATATATATATATATATATATATATATATATATATATTCCTATAGTTTACGGCTAAAAAAATGTGTTTGTGGTAAAAATACTTATGCAAAAAAGTCTAATGTAATAATAAAAAGTAAAAGTCTTGATGATTTGATAATTTACCTTATTAGAATCATCTTGAGAAATAGAAGAGAGCTTCTAAGTTCAAGAAAAAGGTTTTTTAATCATTGCAGGCATAAGTTTTGGCTTCTCAGGGTCTTTCTACACTTGAATCCCAACTTGTATATTCTGCCTCTTAAAGAAGTGAAATTTTTATTAGTTTTTGGTCTTTCAAAATGCTTTTCAGTTTTATTGCTGGCATTTTATGGTTTTGTTAGATAACTTTTTTGATTTTTCTGTCATCTCTAGCACTTGTTATTCTTTTTCTGACAGATCAGCCTGTTTTCTATGCTTCTAATTTGACAGTCATTTTGAATTTAGAAATTATTTATCTGACTATAGTCTGCAAAAATTTGCAATTTTTGCAATATTTCTTAGGCTGTAATTTGTTTCTTGCAGAAGAACAGCTCCTTTAGCTAATTTATATGGGAAAACATCACTAACTTTTCCTATTATTAATCTTAACCTATAATTATTTATTATCTATACAAATATTAGTATAGCAAGTTTTTTTTTATTTTTAACTAGATGAAGAAATGTGAAGGTTCTCTAAAGTGCAGTGTTTCAACCTAAGCGTGCATGGATAATGAGCATAGTCCTCTTCTTCATAATCAATACAATGAACAGTTTTTTGTTCCAAATGAAGGACTATTTGTAATAAAAAGTAACACTTAGTTATTAATTTTATAATATAGTTATGAATTATTATATTAATTTTCTTGAATGGAATAAAACAAATATTAAACATTAATCAAATTGTAAACTTTACTTCCTATGCCACTGTGTTTATATATATATATATATATATATATATATATATATATATATATATATATATATATATATATATATATATATATATATATATATATATATATATGTATATATATATATATATATATATATATATATATAACTATACCAACATATATATATATATATATATATATATATATATATATATATATATATATATATATATATATATATATATATATATATGTAACTGTACCAACATATATATATATATATATATATATATATATATATATATATATATATATATATATATATATATATATATATATATATATATATATATATATATTATATATATATATATATATATATATATATATATATATATATATATATATATATATATATATATATATATATATATATATATATATATATGTTGGTATAGTTTACAGTTAAAAAAATGTTTTTGTGGTAAAAATGTCTCTTCACTTGTTTGTGGTGTTAAAGCTGATAAAATTAAGGTTATATTATGTCAAAAGGCATTAATTTATATGCTGCAAGTAATAAAACAAAGTAAAACCACAAAAACCCAAATTAAAAGACTAGATTGTTTTTAAAAACATTCTGAATGTTTTTATTTTATTTTTTAAAAATAAGAACATTCTGAATGTTTTTTTTTTTTTTTTGTAAATAAAACATTCTGATTATTTTTATATTTTAAAAAAGAAAATATTCTAAATGTTTTTAATTTATTTTTTAAAAATGAAAACATTCAGAATGTTTTTATTTTTATTTTTTTAACTGTAAAACATGCACGGAATGTTGCTACAATAACTATCTTATAGCCTGACTTGCAAAGGATTGCTGCTACATTGACTGACAAATAGCCTGACTTGCATTGAAGTGTTGCTAAATCGACTGACAAATAACCTGACTTGTAACGAAGTTCTTAAATCGACTGAGAGTTCATTTATATATATATATATATATATATATATATATATATATATATATATATATATATATATATATATATATATATATATATATATATATATATATATATATATATATATATATATATATATATATATATATATATATATATATATATATATATATATATATATGTATATATATTTTACGATAAAAATTTAAAAAATGTCCTCAAATTTTCATTTAGACGGCGCCCAAATATGGTCTTTGCTGTTGAAAATGATCTTAATTAGCCCCTGTGTATATATACAGCGTGTAAAATAAGAAATCGAAGACGAGCGGTCAATTTGACCAGCTAACCCTTGGAATTGACGGTCAACTTTTTTTTGGAAGGTCAATATTTTTATTATTTTCTTTGTTTTCTTTTTAATCTTCGTAATAGTTCTACACGACTGAACTTTATAAATACAAAAATAACTTAATATTTGATAATTAACGAGTTAGTATTCCTTTTTTAAACTTGCAAATAACTAACATTGAAATTACACGATAATGTTAATAGTTTAAAATTAAGCGCGCAGATTTTTATTTTATTTCTTAAAGGAAGTTTGATAAATTGATAAATTTTTTTAAAGAAAGTTTGATATATTGGATAACATCCAATTCATTTAATTAGTGATGTCACTTGCCAATGCCACTATTAAACTAATTATGTTCGTCACTAATTAATAGAATAAATTATATTATGTATATATAAATTGTATTATAATTAACAGATTAAATTATGTATGTAACATGTAATGACATTAAAACATATAAAGACATAATAAAAAATAACAGTCTAAGCTAATAAGCGCTTATTAAACGATTATGTTTTTTTTTTCTTAATGATAGTAACTTCGCTTATGCTTAGCTATTATCATTTTAATTTTAATTTCTATTTAAATATTACCAACTCTGTTTATTTAACTTTTACTAAAAGTTAAATGAACAGTTTTACTAATAATATTCACTTTGCTTTAAGACGCCTTTTTTTAACAAATAAATTAAAAAAAATTATTCATAATAAAAATATTGTGTAGATTAAATAAGTTACATTTACTTGGATTTTTTAAAAAATTTAAGACATTACAGTTTAAAAATAACTAAAACTTTATTATATAATATACTTTATTATATTAATAATAAAATAAGAAGTTCAATCATTTATAAAAAAAAATTTCGCCACCAATAAAATGAAAGGGATTTAAATAAGTGAAGAAAAGAATTATTAGATGTCACGTCTTATGTTATATTCCTTAGCGAAAGTATTTTAAGTAACTAATTGTAAACAATAAGCCTAATTTGAGCACTTTTTCAAAATTTAATGATTATGTTATAATTTAAGACATGCATTTTCCAAATAATAATCTGATTATTTTTCAAATCTTGTTTTTTAAAACTCTGATTATTATTTAACCGGTCAACCATGACCAGCAAGAATTCATTTTGGGAGGTCAAAATAGCAGTTTTATTCACCTTACACGCTGTAATATATATATATATATATATATATATATATATATATATATATATATATATATATATATATATATATATATATATATATATATATATAAATATATATATATATATATATATATATATATATATATACATATATACATATATATATATATATATATATATATATATATATATATATATATATATATATATATATATATATATATATATATATATATATATATATATATATATATATACATATATTTGTTATTTAGGTGCCCCAAGAAGACCTAACGGTCTTGTCACAGAGCACTGCCGTTAACTTCCTGGTTAAATGCACTGCAAGTGCATTTAACCAGGAAGCTCACGTCACCTTTCTTACCGTGACATGAAAATATGTCTAGAGTTCGTTTCAAAGGTGGATCTTCTGCCTATAAAGCAAGGGCTCTAACCACTGCGCCACAGCCATACACACACTCACATATATATATATATATACATATATACATATATATATATATATATATATATATATATATATATATATATATATATATATATATATATATGTATTATATATATATATATATATATATATATATATATTATATATATATACATATATATATATATATATATATATATATATATATATTTTTTATATTATTTATTTATTTCAGTGATCAAATACAAATACAATAATCCATTTATAATTTAATGAAGAGGTGCTACACCAGGCCCCTCTATGCTGACAAACATGGAGATACAGACGCTACAGACAAAGCAGCAGTTGTATCTATAAAGTTACTTTCTTATGTTATTTTTGAAAGCGTTGTTGGATTTAGCGTTTACTGCTTCTTGCGAAAGCGCATTCCATGGGGCGACAATTCTGTTTGAAAAAAAGTTATATCGCTCCTCACAGTTTTTTACCATCTGATGTTCTAGTTTATGGTTATGGCCTCTTAGAATATACTTATCTTTACTTTTTGGAAATTTTTGCGGGACAACAAAACTGACAAGCTCAAGTTTACAAGTGATTTTGAATTGCTCGATAAGATCTGCTATTTTGCGGCATTCTTCAAGAGTTGTTAAACCAAGCCGTTGGAGTCGATCTTCATAGGACAGGTGTTTAATTGTCGATATTGTTTTTGTTGCTCGTTGTTGGGCCTGCTCGAGAATGGTAATGTCTGATTTTAAATGCGGTGACCAGGCTTATACAGCAAACTCAAGATGGGGCGAATGTAAGTGAGATACAGAGTGCGCCATAAATAAAAACTGTGACTGCGAAATGTTTTTTTGAGTCGCCCTAGCATTCTAATTGCTACTGATGCGGCTGACTCTATTTGCGGTCTGAGATCATTCGAGACCATCACACCAAGGTCTCTTTAGACTGCGGTTTCTTCGAGAGGACGACGGGTGCCGTCGACGTTAGACATTGAGTATTTGTACATTGACTTGTTACATCCCCGCCCAACATGCATTACTTTGCATTTCTCAACGTTGAAATGCAAGAGCCAAATGTGTGACCATTTCACTGCTCTGTCAACGTCATCTTGGAGAGTGATGCTGTCCAACTCCTTTTTAATTATCTCTATTATTTTGCTGTCGTCGGCAAACAGTTTCATATGATGAGTAATTTTGTCCGGCAGGTCGTTTACAAAGATTACGAATAGCAATGGGCCCAAGGCCGAGCCTTGAGGCACTCCACTAGTGACTGCTTTCCATTCAGATGTAATGCTGTTTATAACCACTTGTTGACATCGATTGTTTAGCCAAGCTGCAATCCAATCAACGAGAGCGCCTTGAATACCGTAGGCATTCAGCTTATGAAGGAGGGGTTTATGTGGTGCGTTTATTAAGTCTGTGTATATGGCGTCTACTGCGTGTCTGCAGTGAGTTTTAGAGTTGCTAACCTGGCTATGGTCTAGAAAGTTGTTTTTTTATGTACTAATTTAGGAAAGTATTTTTTTTTCTGGATTGAACAATGTCTTCACACCCGCAACTATAATTACAAAAATTAGCAGGCCCTATTATTATTTAAAAATAAAGTTTTTTAAAATTATGTGATGTAGGTACTCAAATAAAGCGAAATTTTATAAAAATTTCAAAAATAATAATTTTTTCATATAAAAATTATTATTTTAGATTTAAATGCATAATAACTATAGTTTTTTAACTAAAAGTGAAAAAGGTGCATTTTTACATGTTTTTTAATAAGAATGTTTTTCAGCAATATAATTTTTATAAAACGATTATTATTTTCAAATTTTTTATAAAATTTCGCTTCTTTTGAGTACCAGGTTGACCTACTTTTGAAAAGCTTTTTTTCTCCAAAATATTAGGGTACCGGTAATTTTCCCAATAAAGTTGCGCCCTTTAAATCACAATCATTCTCATATTTGATAGTATCAATATTAATAACTATAAGCAATGTTTTAAGCCTGTAACAAAAAAAAAAATTTTTTTTGACTCACCCTAATATATATATATATATATATATATATATATATATATATATATATATATATATATATATATATATATATATATATATATATATATTAGGATTTTCTAAGAAACCACATTTTTGAAAAATAAATGCTGCACAACCCCCCACCCCACCCCTTAATGTGTTCTATATGATTAAAAAAACACTAATTTTCAAACATTTTTGAATAAAAAATGATTTTAGGTGTCACTCAAGACTCTTGAACATATAACAAGTTCCTGATATAATCAAAAATTATTTTATGCTGTTTCATCTAACACATTTGTTTTTTTTATATTATATTTTTCATACAGTTTTGTGTCATTTCAGACCCAATATAATTAATTTTTCATAATTTTTTTTTATAGTATCAGGAACTCGTTATATGTTAAAATGTTTAGAGAGACCCCTAAAAATATTATTTTTCAAAAGATTTTCAAATGCTGTGTTCATTATGGGTGGAATCTTCCTAATCTTTCCTAATCTGCTGAAAGTGAAATGAACTTTAGCAGATATTAAGACAAGGTTTTTACTAATTTGTTATTGCTCTGTTTTTTAAGAACATTGGAAAATGAAGTGGACAATTATTTGCTATGTTTTATGGTAAAAACTAATTATTAGTTTGTTTTTACCATAAAACATATAAATAAGGTGTGCATTTATATATTATAAATAAGGTGTATATATTATACATTATAAATAAGGTGTGCATATATATATATATATATATATATATATATATATATATATATATATATATATATATATATATATATATATATATGTATATATATATATATATATATATATATATATATATATATATATATATATATATATATATATGTATATATATATATGTATATATATATATATATATGTGTGTGTGTATATATATATATATATATATATATATATATATATATACACACACACACAGAATATAATAGAAAAAATGCTGTACACACTTGAGGCGTGTCAAGTCTAAATTACGTAGAATTAAGACTATGGCAGCCAATTACAAAAAGTAGTATTCAAAAACCAAAATATTCATTGATGCTGTTTTTGAATAGGTTTAAGTTATCTTTATCTATTATCCATTAAGATAGAGAATTCCAATCGTTTGTAACTCTTTTAATGAAGAAGTTGTGACGAATTCTCAAATTGGTAAATTGTTTGGGTATTCTACAATTGTTACTTCATCTTGATCGTTCCAGCTCATAATTTAATGGAGGGTTGTGAAAATTAACAATATCTTTCCCTTTTGAGGTCTTATGCATTTGAATCAAATCACCTTTTCTTCTTCTATCATGCAAAGCTGACAATTCTAGTATCTTTAATCTTTCTTCATACGATTTCTCCCTTAAAGATTTGATTCTAGTAGCTCTATGTTGCATAAGTTCAAGATTGTCAATGTCCTTCTTCCAAAATGGACTCCAAAACTTAATTTTTTTAGTAATTTCCTGCGAGAGACTGAATCAAATGCTTTTAAAATACAAAAACAAAACATTAACTGAAATAACCTTATCTCACGCTTGTATGATTAAATCTAATGTTTCTAACAGGTTTGTTATGCAACTTTTGTTATTAATAAAACCATGTTGCTCTTTAGAAATTAAATTGTTTTCAATAAGAAACACCATCATACAATCTCTAATATTTTGCTCCATAATTTTACCAATGATTGACATTAATGAAACTGGTCTATAATTTGTTGGATCTAGTTTATTGCCCTTTTTGAATAACAAAACAATGTTTGTACATAGTCATAACTTTGGAATAGTTCCTGTACTAAAAAATTTATGAAATATTAATGCTAAACAACTTGACAAAGATTCTGAATATTCCTTTAAAACATTTGGGTTAACATTGTCTGGACCTTCTGATTTGTACATGTTTAAATTACTCTAATGTTTCTGAATAATAGAAATACTAAAATAGGGATCAGGACATTTTTTTAAAAAATTGTTGCCTAAAACTTCTTTTGATGAATCATCTTGTATAAAAACAGATGCAAGAAATTCATTAAGAGTGTTTACTATCTCTTGATTATCAGTAGTTATAATACCATTATGTAGTTTTATTGCTTTGATAGAGTCTTTAAATCTTGTTTTGTTATTTATATATGCATAGACACTTTTAGGATTGTTTTTTGAATTGAGTGCCAAGTTTCTTTCAAAATTACAAATACTTTTTTGACAAGTTTTTTTGTATCTTTATTTAAATTTTTATACTCATTGACTTCTAATAGATTTTTAAAACCTGAATTTCTGTTTCTAAGCCAACTTTTTTGTTTTTCTTTACACATAATTTTAAGTTCACTTGTCATCCACAGTGAGTTGTTTATATTTTTTAAGCCATTTTTAGTAACACTCATTAACACCAAGTCCTTCAAATTCTTGTACCCAGATGATGTTATTAAAATAAAAATCTAAGGCCTTATAGTTTCCTTTTTTTGCATAAAATTTTTTCTTCCTTATTGTTTGTTGTGATATTTATAAATTAGGTCTATTTTTATATTCAAGTCTAAATTTCAAAATATGATGACCAAGATCAATGCCACCTTATGGTGGAAAATGCTCCAGAATACAAACTCTGTTGCTATTATTAGTTAAAATGAGGTCTACAATATTAGTATCTATACCAAAATAGATTTGAAAACTAGGGCAGATAATGTTTTGGTGCAGGTAACAGTCACGTAATGACTCAATAAATACACTTGCTGTTGTATCACTCTCATTTATAATTTCACTAAAGTTTTGGTCGTTCTACTTGATGTTTGCATAGTTGAAATCACCACATATGAAAATACCAGAGCAAATGTTTAATTCTACAATCTGGACGGAGAACTTCTCATGAATACAAAAGAAATGATATCTTTAAGAAAAAACATTTAGTGTCCCAAGAAATACAGTAGAACAAACATAACGATTTTCAAAGACAAAATATCATTTATCTCAAAAGGGGAATATATGTTAAAAATATAAAAGCATCAATTAATACGAGTTCTCTTTCTACTATTGTTAATTTATTTGAAATTTTTGCTGGGTTATAGTTACCAGCATCATCACCTATATTATCGTAATTAAAAATTAAAATTATGACCGTTATAATAAATTACAAAAATTAAACTTTGACATCAAAAAACAAATCTTTGACACCAAAAAACAAATTATTAAACTAACAATAGTATTGAGAGAATTCGTATTAACTGACGTTTTTATATTTTTAACATTTATACTCTCATACAAGATGTCAATATTCAAATTATATATATATTATTTGAATATATATGTATATATATATATATATATATATATATGTTCAAATCATATATATATATATATATATATATATATATATATATACATGATTTGAATATATATATATATATGTATATATATATATATATATATATATATATATATATATATATACATATATATATACATATATATATTTTATGTATATATATATATATATATATATATATATATATATATATATATATATATATATATATATATATATATATATATATATATATATACGTATATTATTTTGATAATTTGGAAGGATTTTATATTTATATTTGTGTATTTAGTTTCATAAGTTTAATAATATTTTTTATTGATTTTGAATTTTCTTTTCCGATAAGATTTTAAAAATAATCCTTATTTTTTGAGTAAATGAACTCATACCTTTTTGGAGATTATAGAAGACAATAGGTTATTTTATTAAGAAAAAAATATGAATTACTCTGATTGCATTCTAAACTTTAGGTGATTAAAAAAAAATATTGCATCAAATATTAATATAAGGTGCAGTTTTAATCTAGGTGATTTATAAATTTAATAAACTATTTAAATCGTGTAAATTTTATTTTCAAAAATTTAGTTAGATTTAAACTGTTTGGTTTACATTCATATACTGTTTATACATTCATATATTAAAACAAACAGAACCAAACAGATTAATTTTATAAAAACACTTTTTTTTTTAACTTTTATTTACATTTTTTTTATTTGTTAATTATTTTTGAGATTATTTAAGAGAACCAAAAATGATCAAATTTTCTGAAATTGGTCATATAATTTTCAAACAATTAAAATATAATTTTTTTTTTTATATAATCTATTATTGACTATTGCTATATAAAATTGTTCTAAGAAACTAAAAAACAATAAAATTTTTGTTTATAAATGCGGATTTACTTTAATATAAGTTGCTATTATAAATTTTTAATTGGTCTGAAAATATTTGAGTTTATAAAGCTCCTTGTATTACATCATGGTATTAAAATATTACTATAATAATATTATATGAAAAAAGTGATGTAATGGTTTAATATTTTTAAACTTAAAAGTTTATCATTTTGCATAGTTGAAGGTTGTTTTTTTTTACTTTTATTTTTAAGTTTTTATTTAATAATAAAATGTTATTTTTTTATTAATTAATAATTTAATTAATTTTATTAATTTATGTTTATATTAATTTTTTTTTATTTCATTACTAAGCTTCAAATTAAAAATTAGAACTTTTGTGCTTATATTTTGTTTTACACACACTCACACATACCTCACACTCACTACTTTTTTTTGTTTTAATTTTAGCCTGCTTCTACTTCTTTTTTTTGTTTTGATTTTAGCCTGCTTCTACTTATTTTTTTTGTTTTGATTTTAGCCTGCTTGTACTTTTTTTTGTTTGTTTTGATTTTAGCCTGCTTCTAATTCTTTTTTTTTGTTTTGATTTTAGCCTGCTTGTACTTCTTTATACTTCTTTATACTTCTTTGTAGCCTCTTTATACTTCTAGTTGTTTATACTTTTTGATTTTTTCAAAAGATTCAGTTTAGTGCAATAAACATGAATGAAGCAAATTTATTTTAATTATTGTTGTAGTTATTGAATCACTACAAATTTTTTAAAAACTGCGTGAAAACCTTCAAACAGAATTGCACATTCTTCAACATTTAATATATAACCAATAATGTTAATCTATTTTATTTTAATTCAAGTAATTCTAAATTGAAGCTGAATTCAATATGCTAACTAATTTAAATTTAGTTTTTAATGTTTACAATATGCATAAAAAATAAAGGACTATTTTATAATAAAGTATTCCAACTAACAAAAAAAAAATTTAGTGATTTTGTCAAACAAGTTTAAGATAAGGTAATCAGAAAAGAGGTCACTAAACTTTAAAAGTTGAAAGGTAAAGCATCAAGTGTTTTTCAATTGGTTTGTTTTTGTAAATTAAGAGAAAAAAGGTATTAGAAAGAAAAAGCCTGTACTTTACTTTTTATTGTGGTTATATGTTAAACCTATAAACACAAAAGTATAACCACTGCCTAATATGCATGACCAAACTATTATGGATGCTGGGTGTTTTATAGTTTATATAAACTATAAAACACCCAGCATCCATAATAGTTTGGTCATGCATTCTGTTTTGTATTCACTTGGTCTGCGGACAGCAAATGTGACTTTGTCTTACAAAGTCTCAAAGGAAGATTCATTGCTGAATACAACTTTAATAAAGCAATAAATAATGTTTAATGATATTTCAAATATTAGTAAAACAAATTAGGGTTAGATATTAATGCAAAAAAGTCTAATGAAAACTTGTAATAATAAAATATTATTTGCAAGAGAGAATGGAAAATTTACCGCATTAGAGTTACCTTGAGAAATAGAAGAGTGCTTGAGAAATAGAAAAGTCCAAAAAAGAGGTTTTTTAATCATTGCAGGCATAAGTTTTGGCTTCCTCAGTGTCTTTCTACATCTTAACTTGTAACTTTCTACACTTGAATCCTAACTTGTAACTTCTGCTTTTTAAAGAAGTGAAATTTTTATTAGTTTTTGGTCTTTCAAAATGCTTTTTTGTTTTATTGCTGGCATCTTATGATTTGTTTGATAACTTTTTTGATTTTTCTGTCACCTCTAGCACTTGTTATTCTTTTTCTGACAGATCAGCCTGTTTTCTGTGCTTCTAATTTGACAGTCATTTTGAATTTAGAAATTATTTATCTGACTATAGTCTGCAAAAATTTGCAATTTTTGCAATATTTCTTAGGCTGTAATTTGTTTCTTGCAGAAGAACAGCTCCTTTAGCTAATTTACATGGGAAAACATCACTAACTTTTCCTATTATTAATCTTAACCTATAATTATTTATTATTCATACTAATATAAGTATAGTAAAATTTTTTTTATTTTTAACTAGATTGAAGAAACTTAAAGGTTCTCTAAAGTGCAGAGTTTTTCAACCTAAGCGTTCATGGATAATGAGCATAGTCCTCTTCTTCATAATCAATACAATGAACAGTTTTTTGTTCCAAATGAAGGACTATTTGTAATGAAAAGTAACACTTAGTTATTAATTTTATAATAAAGTTATGAATTATTGTATTAATTTTCTTGAATGAAATAAAACAAGTATTAATCAAATTGTAAACGTAATGAAATTAACATTATTGTTCCGGTTTTATAATTATATTTTTTCCTGGTCTATGGTATCCATAAGCTCCAAATATGTTGTTTAATTTATGGTCTTATAATATGAGGTTTAATGACTTAGAACTTATTATTTTTAAGCCTGGAGTCTTTGCCATCATTATACCTAATGATTCCCAGTTCAAAAAATGATTGTTTCACTAACCGAGACCATTAAGTATACAAACTTTTTTGTATTTTTAGAGCTCATGGATACTAAAAACTAGGGAGAAATAATCTTTTTTTATTATTTTCAAATTTGGAATCTTTTTTGGGACTCTGCATTTATATATCAGAAACAACACGTAAGTGTATATATGTATATAATATAATGTATATAACATTGTAATATTTATACTAGAATATAAACACAAAGTTTTTATGTGTTTGTCACAATCATCAGTTAGTATTTACTTGTACTGGGTAATTGTATAGTACCAGCAACATTTTTAAAATTAATTTAAAGTTTTGCATTTTTAATAAATTATTTTATTATAAATTCTTGAATGAAATTGAATGAAAAATTGTTTTTGTTACAAGATATTATATTTGGTTTTAGAAATGATTTCTTTTGTAGTTTTTTTTATTAGCCTTAATTTTAAAAGTTGTTTAATGAAATTTTTTACCAAATCTATTTTAGTTAATGACTATAAAAAATATAAATATATAACTTTTAAAAAAATTTTAATAAATATAACTTCATCACTTTTTTGCCATGGGAGTTTATCAAAATACAGAAAAGCCATTGGCAAAGACCTTGGCATATGCTGAGTGTCGAGGTTAAATTTGCACGCTGATATACACTATACACACACAGATTTTTTTGTATCATTTATTAAAAAATGTATACCATTGCGCTTTCACTTGCCCTAAGTTAAACATATGCTTTATAAATTTTTTTGATGCAGTGTTATAAGTTTACAAGAAATTTATATGTTTATATGTTAACAAGAAATTTATTTTTTTATAAAAAATAAAAAAGGAGGCAGGTAAATTGCAAATTATATATTATATAACAAATATACATTGCAAGAGCTATATTGCTTCAAGCATAAATTCAAGCAAAAAAGTTTTATCCATAAAAGAAGTTTTTTTTAATGATAAAATAAAAAACCTTTTTTTTATAAAATCATTATAACAAAATAAACAAACTTAAAATATCAAAAGTATAAAACCAAAATTAACGTGTACTATTTTTTAGCTAATAATAATAATAATAATAATTTTTTTTAAATTGAGTAATTATTTTTGTTATTGTTTGTTATGAGAAATTGTCTTAATAAATTCTCTTGCTCTTGCAAAATGATAAATAAAAATTTTTAAAATTATGTTTATTTTGTTTCCTTTTTTTACACCCCTTCACAATATCTTTTTCTTTTCTTTTACTGAACATTTTTGGTTAATAAAAATTTTCTTTTTTTTTCATAATTATTACATAGCACGAATATCAAACTTATTTTTTATGCAAACGTTTTACATAATCATCATTCAAACTTCATAAGTGGTTTTTACGCTTATGAAGTTTGAACGAAGCTTTTTTAAGCAAAGGCAAAGAGAAGCTAACTCCAGCTTAAAACGCCCCCTGCCCTGGGGGTCTTTATTGAGTAAAGGCTAGAGCTGGTGTCTCGATAAAAATACCCATCTTGGGCAGATTATGAATGCATCCAGCTACTGTCTTGTAGAAGGTCTCCTAGACAATGACTTAAGGGGTAAACAGATTCTATCTGTTGACCAGCCTTGCACCCCTTCTTCTTATATTAGGCTGGCGCAGATGTATTTTTAATACATTGTTTCTAGTTTAGAATGTTAAATGCTGGATCTTCTTGACTCAATGCATGGTTTTGCTTTGGTCTCTGTTTTTATGACAAGGCAACTCATTCTATTATCTCATAATGAGGGTACAGCTCTAAAACTCAGTTTTTTGGTTCTAAGGCTGGCTGATAGTCAGGTTTCTTGAACTCTGTTGTAGCTCTCAGACAGGCTGATTCCATCAACAGCTGAATAATATCAGAGTATTACCAGTGCCATGTTGCGCATGTATGGTGTTCCTGTTGGTACTTTTGGTGTGCATTGTCGAGGCCATGTTTGGAGCCCTTTGTTACGGCTTAAGGTTTGTTAATATTAATAAGGCAATTGCTTAGATTATTAAATAGTGTACAATATATGCTTAGAGTTGAGTTCTTTAACAAATTTAAAAATGGCTAAAGTACCAAAAACTATAAAACACAAAAAACCATCGTCATCACCAAGTTCTCTAAACCTATCATTCACTAATATTTGTGGTCTTCGAAGTAACTTTTTTTCTGTAGAGTTTTATCTCTTGCAAAGTTCACCAGACCTACCTGCTCTTTGTGAGACTAATTTGAGTTTTGCTGCCTCATCTTGTGATCTTAGTGTTGATGGTTATCATTCTTTTAATTTGTCAAGATTCCAATAGTCACATACTTTGCCTGGGCATTTACATTCGTAAGAATTCACCCATCTGTCTAGAAACTAGGTTCGAATCCATAGACTATTCTTTTATTTACTTTCATTTAGCACCATTTCAATCTTTTGCCTTTCTCTTTGTTCTATATTGTTCTCCTTCATCTCAAGACTGCACTCTTTCGAATGTTATTTCTGATCAAATTGATCAAGCCATCTCTTTTTATCCATAAGCCAATATTATTATTGTTGGTGACTTTAATGTTTATCACAATGATTGAAATGGCTCTAGTGTCAGTGACTCTGCCAGCATCAAGACCCATAACTTTTGCCTTTCTCAATCTCTAACTCAAATATTCAACTTTCCAATTTGCTTTCCAGAAAACCTCATTAAAGAGTGCAGGCGGTGAGATCTGTTGCAAGGACACGCCCCTGACGAGTGGCGTTAGTGCAGGTCTCGGGCTCTCCGAAACGTCATTGGTGATCGCAGTGCATTCCTGAGGAGGGGGATCACCATTTATCCACTACTTAATTCTAATTGGTTATTATGGCACCAACATTTTTTTACCTCTTAAACCCATGTATTTTTGCGCTTAATGAGCTTTTTATTATGTATTTGTTACATTTACGACATTTATATATTTTTTTATGTTACACAGGTGATTATCAATTATCAATTTTTATCTAGAGTTTAGAACATATATAGTACCACATTTATTAGACATTTGTATGGTGCGATTATTTTAGTTATGAATACCATTATAAACCAGCGGATTTTTATTGACTTGTTTACTCATAGATCATTATTTCATCATTTGTTTAAAGACGACTAGAGTGTGAGTTTTTATTCCCCTTTTCCTGAGTTGCTTACTTTTACTCTTCCAACTAAATAGTCTTTGCATTAATTTATGTTTTTTTACCTATATGGCGTCATCTTCAATCTGTTTTTATTTTCACATCTCCCAGGTCTACGTAACTGGACGGCTCCGTTGGTCACTTTTTGCGATCATTATGTCGCATAAACAAAAATATATTTTATAAAATATTGACTAAAAAAATAAATAAATCACCAGAGTAATAGCATATATACTTAAGATGCATTAATGTAAAATTATTTACTTTCATTACTCGACTTTTGTCTTGTTTCTGATCCTAGTCAGTGCTCAGTTTCTCCACATTTATTATAAGGTGTTTCTGAACTCGTTTGATTTTCTTCATCCGCTCAATCCCCCCTATCATCTTATAACTACCTTAAAGCTGACTGGGACTCTTTCCGTGATATTCTTTGTGATGGCACCTGGGTAGAAATCTTACGTCTTCCTGCTGACAAATGTGCTTCTTACATAACTTCGTGAATTCAGGCTGGCATGGAATGCTATCATCTTGGCCCTATACTCTTTTTAATTTACATTAATGATCTTTTAGATATTTTCACATCTAAGGTTACATTTTTTGCTGATGATGCTACCATTTATTTTTGCGATAATAAGAAGCCAACACTCTCTGATTGCTCGGAGGGGGCATTTGAGCTTAAAAAGGATCTCACTTTTGCTACAGCATGGGACTTATAGTGGCTAGTGAACTTTAATTCAGATAAAACTCAATTTTTTTCATGCAAGCATTTTTACAATAATTTAGATTTTCTTATATTTATGACCAGCAATGTACTTGATAAGTTATCACCCCTTCATCTTCTAGGATTAACTCTTAATTTAAATCTTTCTTGGAAAGCGTATATCAAATACATTGCAAAATTAGCATCTACTAGGGTTGCATCTCTTTGTTGTGCTTGACCTTCCCTTACTCTGTATTGTATTCTTTATCTCTATAAATCTCAAATCTGTCCTTGTATGGAATACTATTGCCATATTTGGGGCGGATCTTCTAATGATGCCCTTTCTCTTTTAGACAAAGTGCAAAAATACATTGTAAACATAGTTGGACCTGCTCTGCAGCCAACCTCCAACCATTATCAAATCATCGTAATGTTTTTCTCTTTCTCTTTTCTACAAATGGGCACTGCTCTAAAGAGCTAGCGTATCTTGTTCCATCAAAATTCATATTTGTCTTACTTGTCATTCAATTAAGTTTCATCCTTTTTCTGTGATTGTTTCTAGTGCTTCAAAAATTCTTATTTATCTAGTATACTGTATATCTGCGTGCAAAATCATTATTGACACTCAGCATAGCAAAAGTTATATATATATATATATATATATATATATATATATATATATATATATATATATATATATATATATATATATATGTATATATATATATATATATATATATATATATATATATATATATATATAAATATATAAATATATATATATATATATATATATATATATATATATGTATATATATAAATATATAAATATATATATATATATATATATATATATATATATATATATAAATATATATATATATATATATATATACACCCTGTAGGCATTTGTTATTAAAAATTACATTCTAAATGTCTTTTAAATAATTTTTAAACACCTTTTAAATGTTCTTTACTGAAGAATGTTTAAAAAACATTTAAAAGACATTTGCAATACATTTAGAACATGAATTTTAAAAACAAATGCCCACTGAGTATATATATATACACATATATTAGTTCATAAAATCTTTTTGTGCTATATTTATATTCTGCTATTTTTCTTTTTTTTTTGTATTAATTGTTATGCAGGTAAGGATTCATAGCAAGTTGTCTGACTGAAAGCATTCAGCATTTTACATTAATAGCATAAAATAACTTTACATTTTACATTTAAATCGATATCCCTGACACACCTTGACTAAAGAAATAAGACAACTCAATGAAGTTACATCAGAAAAAGCACAAAAAACAGTTTTCACTTTAAATAAAATAATAATTTAATGCATATAAGTAATAAATATTACAAAGGTTTAGAAATTATTTGAAAAAATATTTCTTTTTATATTTAATAATTTTTAGCAATACCATTTAATTTAAAAAACCTGCTCTGTATTTTATAATGATTTATTTTTAACAGATGTATATATATATATATATATATATATATATATATATATATATATATATATATATATATATATATATATATATATATATATATATATATATACATATTAACTAGAAGTCAAAATAGTTTAAGATGGTCTTTCCTCAAACCATACTCCAAACATTTCATTATGAAAATCTACTCTTTGATGCATTTAAATAATAATACAATTTTTGCCCTAAGTTAAGTTTTAACAAAAAATTGATCTTCACTTAACGTTCATTTTATAAAAAATAATTTATATTAAAAAAAGTATATACTTTGTAAACAAATATATCATTAAAAATCTTTCTATACTGCTATAATGTTAAAATTGTTTAAATATTAATAAAAAAAAATTGTTTTATGACAAAAACTTACGTTGAAAGATATGTTTTTTGGTATTTATAATGATAATGAAATATTTTTTTTGTAAAAATGAGAATACAATATAATAACTGAAAATAGTAATTACATTATCATTAAAAATGACTAACAGTAAAAATCAGTCTTTTAGTAATACCAGTAAAATAATTATTCCTACCTTAATTGTGTTGAATTCTGGTTTTTTCCTTAGCTATTGTGTAATGAAGTCATTTTTAAGTAATAAAAGTTCACATAATTAAAACTATATATTAACCATTTTTAAACTTTTTTTAGCTCTGCTAAAAAAGAATTAAAATTTTAAAAAATTTTTAAATTTGATACCTGGCAATATAAGTTTAGGATCAATAAAAAATACAAATATATCTTTAAAACAGTCATCTGGATAAAAAAACTATTGGATATAGGCCAGTTCTATTATTAAAAGTTTCTTAACAATAAAAGATAATTACTGATTAAATATAACTTTCAGCTAAATGATCTTTCAGTCAGCTGAAAGTGCTAAATAGCAAGATAAGAAATGCATTTTCTACATACAGATTATTTAAAATATTTTACAAACACATACAAAGCTTAAGATCTTTATACAGAGCTTATAAACAAAAAAGTACAAAAGATGACAGATAAATACTAAAAATTATGAATAACTCATGTAATTTATAATAAGTATAAAGTAATTATAGAAACAATAACAATAATAATAAATAATAATAATAACTACAACAATAGTAATAATAATATTAACGAGAATAATAATAACAATAATAATAATAGCAATAATAATAATAATAATAATAATGATAATAATAATAATAATAATAATAGTAATAATAAAAGTTGTAATAATTATAATAATACATAACTTAGTAAGTATTAATTTAAAAGTTAATAAGCTAGTGAATTAATTAGTGTAATAATAAATGTAAAATGTTATAATAAGTACTTATAAAATTTTATTGCAATTGATTTTTTTAGATGGCTGTTTAAGTGGTGGAGAGGACATAAGTCCAACATGTGAGAAGTTCATAGATTCATTTGTTTCAGCCTATAGTGCGGAAAGTGCAATTTCAGCAAGTGAATTCTGTAATTACCAATATGAATTTAGTATACTTTATGTAGATTTTCCTCAAGTGTTCTACAAAAAACAGGTTGATAGTTTTTTTTAATTTTTTTACTTATTTTTAATATATTTTATAATTAAGATACAGTTTAAAGTTTCGTAATTTACTAATATTATAGACTAAACTTAACAAGCAGGAAAATGAGATTTTGTTAAGCTCATGTTGAGTAGTTCAAATTGTGCTGAAAAGTATTAAAAATTTTTTTTTTTATAAAACTGTGACAAGAATGTTGTTAAGATCGAAAAACTATAGCTATAGAATAATTCACGTGAGAAATAGCGTTAGCAACAGAAGCTGGGTTGATTAGAGTAACTGTGAGTTAATATGTATTTCTGGGATAATGGGATAAGTGCAATCATTAGACTTAATAGATGATTTAAAAAAAATTCTTTGCAGGGCTTTGAAATTAAGATAAACTACAGCTAGAAATATATCCTTATTAAAAAGCTTTTCCTCTCATTTTTGCAACTTATCCTTAACTCTTCTAAGGCCACTTTTCAATTTGAATCATTCATTTAAAAACTCTCTTGAAGTGATGTTGATTCCTTAAAGTTAAACTGAAACATACTTTTTTAAGAGATCACAAAGATGACTTAATTTATCCCATATTTCAGAGTGTAGAAGATCAACTGCAATAATATCCAATCAACTGCAATAATATGCCGCAGTTGGTAAATGATTTTATTCGGATATAAATCATCCAGAATGTAGAACCCCATTAAAGAATATAAATCAACCCAAATGTAGAATCTTATTTTATGATATAAATCATCCAGAATGTAGTACTCTCAAGACTTTTAATTAATTGGCCAGTAACTAACTGGAATCCTTCACCCACTTCAAATGTTTTCAGCAAATCTATGTTATTTACTACCATTTTAATGATTCCTATCTTAAAAGTTTTTTTTTATTGTTCTACTACTAGTGATAGCTAGAGAATACAAAAAAAACTAAAGTAGACTGTTTTTTTTTTGCTTTGAAATCTTGTGAATATGATCAAATTGATTCAGAAGAGATTTTGTCTTCTTTTTTATTTAATTCTGTTTAAATATTTTATAAAAAGTTAGTGATGTATGAGAATAATAGTAAAAACCAATAGCTTTGTTTTGGATTCAAATATTTTATATTCTGAACGCTGTGATCTTTCTAAATGCCATTTCATATTGCAAACTTTTGATTTTCTTGTTTGCGTGCCGCATGGAATCACTTTATTGTTTATCTTTTATGGTTTCCATCTTACATGTTGCCAGTTTTGTATTTTTACAATTAAAAATATCTAGACCACTCTCAGGATTGTTTGGGTTGAAGACATTTTAATTAAAAACTATGGGAAACAAAATGAATGATTATTAACTTTTTTAACATATTTTATAATCAATTTAAATGCAAAAAAAAAAAAAAAAAAAAAACTTTCTTTTTAAATAACTAGTTTATGAAGTCATATTTTTTACCAAAAAAAAACACTTCATTTTCAAGTGAATTGATTGTGATTGTGATTGAATATTTTTCTGTAAAATTTTCAAGTTTTAGTTTAAAACTTGATTTTAAATTTGTTATTTACAGTTTTTAATATTTTAATTTGTTATGATATTTAGTATTTCATTTTGATTATCTAATTTAAATCAACACTTATAACTTAACAGTTAAAACATTAGTAATATTATGAATAATATTATAAAAAAATAGTATTGTAATATTATAAAAAAACGTTTTTCAAAAATCATATTATTTGGGACAGCCTATTAAATAAAAATAATAAAGTGTAATAAAAACTAGATTAACTCAAAAAATATTTTGAAATCATTTCTTAATTTTATTTAGAATTTATTTTTCGTTTCTTAATTTTATTTAAGCTTGTGCATTTAAATCAATTTTAAAGTTTCAATTAATTAAAAAAGGTTAAAAGAAATTATGTGATGTAATGCAGGGGTAAAGTAAATTTCTTTCAACCTATCCTTGACATTGTTTAGAAGTAGTTTTTTAAAGTAACTTATATATACAGCAGTATGAGCCATATGAAATTATACAAATTATTGGATTTGTATAATTTCATATGGCTCAAGTTACACAGATTATTGGACCATAATTAGTATCTGAAAAAACAGTAACACTTTTTTAATAATAAAAAAATTTATTTCAAATTTTTAAATATAAACATTTCTTTAGAGATTCTTTTTTTATTGCTTACTACTCTCTTACATTTATGAGAGTAGTAAGCAATCAGGTTTGATATTTGACCAGAGCTGGGTTTGATAAAAAACACCCAAAGGCAGGTTTTTGACCAAAGCTGATATAAATAGTGATAAATCGACTGACAAACATCGACTGACAAATAGCTTGACTCGAAAGGGAGTGCTGCTACATCGACTGAGGGTTTGGTTTAGGCAGGCAGTCTATAATTTAAAAAAAAAAATTTTTTGAAGTTTTTTAACATCCTCTGGTCTGTATATATCAGTCAGGTCAGGTCAGGTGTATTGTTATCATGGTTACCCTGCTACTGCTAAAAGGTAATCCAATTCAACCTGGAAAAATAAGCTGACTTAATAATCTTTTGCCTTATGGATTTTGGTTGAGTAAAGATGGTTCTCAATAAAAATATTTATCTTAGGCAGATGTTAACTGCATTTAGCTATTGACTTGTAGGAAGTCTCCAACAAAAGACTTAACGGATAAGCAGAGTAATTCTAGCCTTGAACTTCTTCTTCATCTAGTAGACTGGTGCAGATGTAAACCTATTTTACATTGTTTCCTGCCTAGGATGATGATCTTTTGACTCCTTGATAGTAGTTATACAACTAGTCCTGTTATCTCGTAATGAGAGTACAGCTCTAAAACTCAGTTTAATGGTTTTGAGTTTTTTCCTGAACTCTCTAGTAGCTCTCAGTAGTGCTGTTTCTATCAACAGCTGTAAAATATCAGAGTATTATCAGTGCCATGTTGTACATGGTTAGTATCCCTGTTAATGGTTTTAGTGTGCATTTTCAAGACAATATAAGGAGTTCTAATTTATGACTGGGTTAATTAGCAGGGCTGAGACAACTGCATAGCTCATTACTTGGAATGTTGTGCTCTACCTATGAATGGGATGGTGTACTTTATTTATCAATGAGTCAAGTTTTCTTTAATCTTAAACTATGCCCAAAGTAACCACAAATATTAAACATTGAAAAGTATCTCTACCACCAAACTGTTTTAATATATCATTCACAAATATTCGTAGTTTTGGAAGTAACTTTACATCAGTTGAATCTTACCTTTTGCAAAATTCCCCTGATTCGATTTTCTTTGTGAGGCTAGTTTAAATTCAACTGTTCATTGTTGATCTTGATGGGTTCTACCCTTTGATTCACAAAGACTCCAATTGTTAAAAGCTTGGGGATATACTTATGTATCAATTTACCTATATGTCTAAAAATTAGATTTAAATCCTCTGACCATTCTTTTATGTGCTTTTGCTTAAAACCTCTTCACGTGTACTTTTCTTTTTGTTCTTTATTGTTCTCCTTCTTACCAAAGCTGCATTTTTTAAAATATAATTTCTGATCGAATTGATCATGCCCTTTCTCTTTACCCCTATGCCAGTATTATTGTTATTAGTGACTAACTGACTCTAACACCACTGACTCTAATGGTACTAAAGCCCATAATTTCTTTATTTCTCAATCTCTTTCTCAGATAGTCAAGTTTGTGGCTGGTTTTCTGGACAACCCTAGTCACTTCCTTCACTCCTTGATTTGTCTCTGAGAAATCAAGGAGTGAAGCTAAGTGACTAGGGTTTTTTTGTAGAGAGTGAAGGTAATTGACTAGGGTTTTCTTGTCTCTGACCCTAGCTTGTGTTCGGTTTCTCCTTGTTTTCATTTAGATGGTTTCAGTTATACAATGATCTCTATAATTGTTTCACTAATTCTTTTTGATTTTTTTTATGATTATTTTGTTTGTTATAGTCTTTGGACTGATTTTTTTTTCTCTCTCCACTGATAAATGTGCCTCCTACATCACCTCCTGGATCCAGGCAGGTATTTATTCCTTCTCGTCAGTTTCATGTCAAGCTTCATTCTTCATGGTTTTCACCTTCTTGTACAGCTGCTATATATAATTTTAATCATTTTTTTTTATTCAAAAGAACAACTCTCTTGAGAACAAACACATATTTGTTTTTGCAAGAAATCAATGTAAAAAGATGCTGTCTGATGTTAAGCTCCATCATTTTCAACTTTACTGAATCTTATTCTTATTTTAGAAGTTAGGTTCTTGAGACAAAGGTAAGGCGGTGTTGTCGGGGTAACATTCAATCTCTTATTCATTGGACTGATGTTAATAACTCTCCCAAGAATAAGGCATATCTATTTGCAAAGAACTATTCCTATAATTCCGATCTTGAATCTTATGGCCATACTCTTCTTGCCATTCTAGACATATCTAGTCATATCTCAGATTTATTCTATTCCCAATATCTGTCTAAGATTGTCACTTGTTTTCTTATTTTTTAAAGTCACACTATACATTCATATGATCATCATCATTCTTTTTTCCACAATGGAGCTTCTTTCATCAAGGAGTACAGCATGGGTAAAGGCAGGTTAAAGACTTGACTTAAAATTGATAATAAATTTCCAGTATATAGAGGAAAAACATTAGCCCAAGAAACATTACAATAAAAATCACAAATAATAATAATCAAGAAGCCAAGATGATTTGTATTGTTTAGAAATTAAATTTGAAAAAAAGTCAATGTGATGAGTATTAAAATCACTAATTACAACAATATTGACAGTTAAAGAGAATGGGTTCAAAATGTTTTGTAAAGAAGTTTTGTAAAGGAGAACAAATCTGAACAAAGAGTATAATGATTAAGTGAAATGCTAAACAAAATGCACATAATAGAATAGTCAGAGGATTCAAAACTGATATCACAACAAATAGGTGAATTATTTAAGTATATGTTAGGGCCAAGCATGTGACTGTTAAATCTAAAGGATAATAGCAGATAATTGAAAGATATTTTTTTGGATCTCATTACTGAGATCCAGAATCTGAGTGAAAACAGACAAATTCAAATTAGTCTTACAAAGATTATCTAGGGTTTGTGAATTTTGTATGGAGTAAGATTTAAAAGATGAAAAGTCCAAGTAACCTTACTAACAGCTGACTTAAACTGAGTTTTAGAGCTGTACCCTCATTAGGAAATAGCAGAATCAAATAGGCACTACAAAGGAGGCAGACCACAAGGGCACCCAGAAAAGGTAGAAAAACCAAGAGTAGAATCTAGAAGATCCGGCATTTTTAGTAGAAAAATAAAAAAATAATAAAACACAGATTCTCATCTGTGCCAGTATGTTAGTTAAAAAAAAGTGGTGGGAGACTGGTAAACATAAATTTTTAAGATAATTGCTGAATGCCATTAACATCTGCCCAAAATAAGTATTCAGATACGATCACTAGTATTAACTTCTCCTAGTCTTTCCCTAATAAAGCAATTCCTATTAGGCAGAAATACATGTTTAGGTTACACTGGATTACATGTTATGTGTAGCAGGGTGATTGCGATGATCCTGATCTGACCTGATGATTAGTATTAGGTTAGTTTGGTGTGTATACAAAATTATATATTATAGGCACATATATAATATATAAATTACATATATAATTTACTGATTTCAGGTTCGTTCAAATAAACAATCAATGCAACGAATAGACAATGGGAATGTAACTTTTCTTCTTGAATTTGGATCTGCTGTGGCTAGAAATTCTGCAAAGCATATTACTATTAAAGTAAAACGTTTAACAAACAAACAACATAAAGATGTATTTATCAAAAGTCAGTTAAGTTTAGTGCAAAAAACAAAGGTAATTAAAGTTAATAAAATTAATGGTTTTATTAATGTTTTTAATTTTATTTTATTCAATAAGAAAAATTGGATAGGAAACCACATGCATATAATACAAAAATAAAGTCTTAATAATTTTGGTTTTAATTACTTTTGTTTGAATTAAGTAATATTTTTTTAAATTTTATTTTTAAGTAATATAGAGAGCTTGTGTTAATAAAAGTATCAATATTGTGAGGAAGGAAGACAACTCATTGAGTTTATGAAAATGAAAAATGAGAACTCATTAAGTTTAAGATGTTTAAAACTTAAAAATAAACAAAATAATCATTGTAATAAACAACATTGTCTGTTTTAAACTGATAAAGCACCAGAAAAACACTTACCTGATTGCAAAATAACTATAATTATTAAAGAAATAACTCATAATAGATTCCATAAGAATAACACGTAATTGATTAGAATAAGGCATATTTGATCACAAAATAACACCTAGCAGATTATGGAATAACACATAACTGATTACAAAATAATGCATAATAGATTACAGAATATAACATAATTGATTAAATTAACACTTTTTAGATCATAAAATAACACACAACAGATTACAAAATAAAACAATCATTTTTAAATATTATCTCATAATACTCTCAATTGGTAGAATTTAAATAGCTTAAGTTACTGTTATAATTTACTGCTTAAAATATAATATAAAGCTTAAACTGCACTTATTGTGTGCAAGTAACATATTTTATACTGTTACTATTACTTCTAGTAGTTGTTTTTGTTAAAGACGATACATAAAAATGTTTTTTCTGATTTATTATTTTTTAATCTAGCGTTCTATTAAAAATTTAAGTATAATTAATTTTTTCATTCAAATGATTTTTAAGTTGATGTTTTCATTCATTTTTTTGTTAAAATTATTTTGCAATAAAATAAAGTCATGAGAAAAAAATTTGGTTTAGTAAGTCAAAGGTTGGTTTAGTAAGTCAAATTTGATTTAGTAAGTTAAATTATATTACCATAAGTTTAAGAATATGCTTAAATTTTATTTAAAAAAAAAAAAAAAATTTGAACAAAAGTAGATTATTCTTTTTTAATTTAAATTTTTTTAAATTTATAATTTAATTCTTTAAATTTATATTTTAATTTTTTTATATTTATTATCACTTGTTTAATGTTTGCAATACTTTGAATACTTTTATTCAACTATTTTCAAGCAGCAAAAAATAATGACACCTTTACAAAAAATATTTAACTATTAAAAATGTTTACAAATTAAATAAAACTTTCATCTTCAATTGCACTACCGATCTTCTAAATCTGATATTGTTACTCTAGCTAAATCTATGTCTCAATAACAACTTATTTAACCAGGTATGACCAGCTTTTTTCTTTACCTGGCTAAAATTGTGAAAGCCATTTGCAGTACAATATTGAAATACAACAGACCTGATGTCATCTGTTGTTAAATTGTCTAGACTTGCTTTTGTGTCAAGAATAACATCAGTCAGTTCTTCTTTTTTTTTTAAAAAAAAAAAAATCTAACAACTTTTATTACTCATACCTACCTTATTACATGAAAGCTTTCCAGCTAAATGTATGCAGATCTCTGAACACAGTGTTCTAATCTGTGTAGATGAATTAAGTCTCTGTTTAGAGCAAGTTCATCAATGTTCTGTTCCAAACTTTTTCTGCTTAAAAACTTTTTTTTTCTACTATAACAAAAATAGTCTTTTAGTCTGACACCTTTGTTTGAATTAAAGTTGTTTCAAGTTCTGGAGTAATTACAGTTTTTTGCCCCCTCTTTTTAGTGTCTGGAATGTGATGCTTTTAACAACCCTAACTATGATTGTCCCCAGTTTCCATCTTTTTACTATTTTCAGCTGAGCTGTTTTTAAAACCAGATAAAATAAGTTCAGCTATAGCTAGCTGTTTCATTTGATCTGCTCACTGTCTCCTGGCAAAAGTTTGTTCCTCCTTTTCTGAAACCATTTTCTCCTTAGCAGCAATCACTTTATCTATACCAGCCATTGACCCCCTTTCTCCTTTTTCTCACTGGGATAGCAAGAAATCCTTATCTACTTGTAATACTGACATCATAGTATTGGCATGAGTGACATCAGAGCATCGGCGTGAGCAACATCAAAAAAGTCTTCTAACCTGGAGACAATGTCAATTCTCTTGTAAGTTGAGTCATTGATGTTTGCACTTTGTTCTTCAAAATACGCCATTTGTCAAATATATACTCAAGCTTGGTTGTGCAGTTTTAATGATCTCTCATCAAGATTTTTGCTTTCTTCCAAAACTTTGCTTTTTCTGTGATGGTAACTGCCGAAGATTGTCTGATTGTTTCCTTTGATTCAAGATAGTAATGCAGGAAGAATCTAAATGCTATACAAAATGGTGGCAAATTGCTGCCTGTTAATTTAGTTACAGTTTATAATAGATATAGCTTGGTTTTAGATCTTGTTGTTTTCGCTATAGATGACATTTTCAGTCGAAATTAAATCTGTAAGAAATAATGGAAATTCTTTCTTTCTTTTATTCTGAAAGAAAAAAAAATTGCATTTTGTTATCATGAATTTTAATAAAAATCATTTTGAAGAATCATATCATAGCAGTCCAATTTATCTATTTATATGTCTGTCTATATATTTATTTACTATTTAGGCTTAAAACATTTAGAATAACAGTCATTTAACTCTCCAATAGGTAAGAATCAAGAACTATCATTATTCAAAGGGATAGTTCTTAATTCTTATCCATAGCCTAGTCACATCAATTATCAAAAAAAAAAATGTAATAAAAATTTAAACCATTCATTCACACACTGTGTACCACCCCAGTGCCTTACTGATCATGCTAAACCTGTATTTATTGAGTGTAAACCTGTATTGTATTGAGTGTAAAAGTAAACTAAGAAAGTAACAACTAAAACCAAATATAATTTGTTAAGACCGATTGCATCTTTGTAAGTATATATATATACATTCACACACTATGTAGATATTACTATATATTATTAATAGATATTTATTTGAACATGAAAGTTATATGATTTTATTGTCATATCCTCTTTATTGCAATCATCAGCTAAGATTTAATTTAACAGAAATATGGAAACAATGTGATTATTTGCAATTTTCCCGTTTTTAAAGAACAGTGTTGATAAGCATAAAGTTTTTTTAAAAAAAAAAAAATTTATGCTTATCAACACTGTTTTGTAAGTTTTTACATTTAATTTACAAAAACCTCCTAGTAAGTATGTTTATATGTAATACATATAAACATATTATATACTAGTCTCCACCTTCTAGTAAGTATTATGTTTATGAATTTTACCTGTGTGGATGTATGTTTAAGTCTGAATGCTCAATTGTTTAAAGACAAATATTAAAATATTAATACAAATATTGTCACCTCCTCTGCCCAAAGTTTCACTTATTTCCATCCAATTATTTATCAAAAGTAAAAATTATGTTGTGAACAAAAAAAATCTTTTGCTTTTTATTATTCTCTATTAGTTTATTAAATATAAATATATATCAAAATCATTAGACATGATTTAAATAAACGCTTTTAAAACATTATCCTATTCAAGTAGTCAAAAGTAGACTTTTTTTTTAATTTAAATATTATTACTGTTAATAAATTTATTTTTTTATATTAATCAAATACAATATTTTCATTTTTCATAACTGAAAATTGAATAATAACTTGAAATTTTTTACTTGTTCAATTGTTTTTGCATCTAGGTTCTCGTAAAATTAAATTTGGACTCTGTATATGAGGTAGATAACTTTAAAGTTTATGAATTGGATAAAAGTGTGCGCGATGATCGTAAAAGATTTAATCTTGAAATTGAAGTATACTTTTGTAATAATAAAACATTTAAACAAAACACTCATAGCTTTGTTTTGATTGGAAGAAAAAGATCTCAAAGTAGGTGTTTTTATTTTTATTTGGTGTTTACAACATATAAACTAACCATATATATATATATATATATATATATATATATATATATATATATATATATATATATATATATATATATATATATATATATATATATATATATATATATGTCAGGAAATATCTTTTTCCAGATATTTCCGGAATTCTGGATATTTTTAAAATTTTTTTGTATTTTCAAGATAATTAAATAGTTTTCAAAAATACAATTTATAAATTTTTTCTGTTTATTACTGTCATTAGATGAAACAGTAACAAGTATATATAAACAGTAAATTTGTTCTCTGTAAATTACGGAACGCTATATTTATTTAACAAACAAAGCCAAAAAGATTAAAAGATTTCCCTCGCAGAGTAGATCAAAAATTAATAAGCATTTTAATTAAAGTTTAATAAAAATTCCAGCGCAAAAGAGCAAATGATCACCTACTTTTAAAATAAAATTAGCGATGCGTGTGAAACTCTTCTCTTTTTTTAAAAAATTGTAAATTTACATTTTTTAAATAGCTCTTTAAGCTATTAGCAAAGAGATTTCTTTTTTTATTGTTTTAAAACTTTTTTTTTTAAGTAAATCACTTCGCTAATGTACTGGAACTTTTCTCAGTTTGTTTGTCGGTGGTTTAAATTTTATTGCATCATTATTTCGTATTCTGTCATACCATTGCAAGTCTCTTTTCATATATACTTTTCGAAAGTATCATTTTTTCGCATTATTTCTTATTAATTGGTGACTTTAAAATGTTTTGGTGATGGTATTGAGTTATAGAGCTGCTTTTCTTTGAATGCAAATCAAATTTAACTGTTTGAATTGCTGTAAACGTTTCTACATTAAGACGGGTTATTTTCTTGTTTATGACATCATTCATGGTACTAGTAAAGAAAAAGAAATAAATAGTTTAAAGAAATTTTTCTTTGTTTTTGATTTACCTGAACTACTATAATATAATTGTGTTATAATAATTATTTAATTAAATTAGTAATAATATTATAAATAGTGTTTAATAGTTACTTTTAAATAACAACTTGAAGCTCTCAGTTCAAAATTGTTACCTGAATGATTGTTCTATCATAGGTCCAGTAAATATTGACAAACAAGCTTTAATAACATTGGTAAGTAAGTTGTATCGGTTCAATACAATACCTCGGATCACCGTTGATCAAGTCTTTTTCCTTTTACTGCTAGTAAGTCTTTAGCAATATGAAACACAACAACTTCCCTGTCAAATAAGTCTGCTTCGTCAATTTTTATAATGTTAGGAAAAAATTCTTTCAGCTTCTGCGTCATTCGACACGCAACTGTACTTCCAACACACGTTGGATCAATAGAGGATAGTAGTTTTAATAACTCGTTTGATAAAGGAATCTTTTTTTGCATATACTTTGCACCATCGAGAAATGCTCTTTTAATGTGCAACTCAAACTCTGTTCGTATAGGATCATCAAGTCTATATTATTTAAAAGATTTTCGTTACTTTTCTTGTTAAATTATATTTCAAAAATAACATAAGTTTATTGATTATTTTTTAATATCACAATAGGCAATAAGTCACATATATAAAAATCGAATTTAATAATAATATTACTGTTTTGCTTTAGTTAATACAAATTTACTAACCTAAATTTGAGAAGAGCTGTTTTTATGTTTTTGCCAATGTACCAATCTTTTTGAATTTTGTGAAATTTGAGATCTGTTATGTCAAGCATTGTTAGTTTTTTACCCAATGCGTCCTTAATTAGTTCTAGCTTCATAAAGAAGCCTAAAAAAGATTTAACCACCGATTTTAGCTCATCATATAAAATGTGAATCTTTGGTTCTTTTTGTTCAAATATTAAAATAAATGACTTGAAAATCGCGAGGATTGCAATATAGAAGTTAGCATGCAGCTCGGTTTTTCTTCGCTTGTAGAAAAGTTTGCTTACTATTCTTTTCTTTCTTTCTTTTCCAGCTTCAGTTAAAGACTTTTTTTTTGCATGTAGCGCCAATTGAGTATATCCTTTTTTTTTACACCATTTGACAAGTTCTAAATATATAAAATTTCAAGAATAAAACATATCTGCACAGAAAAGTTTTTTTCACAATTTTTGATGTTTTTAAATTTTTACCTCCGTTAGCTTTTCATAATCATCCATGTAGATAGTTTATTCCTCTTTCTTTAACTAAAAAAAGTACAACACGCTAAGAGCAGGAAAAAGTGCTATGTTACACTCAATAGCATTGAACATTGATAACCAACGGTGATCAATATGGTCAGGCGGCATTCGATAGTTTACACCTAAGTAACCACATATTTCACTTAAATAGTTTCGTATGTCAGGGCTCCATTTTAGGTCATTGTGAACATCTGTACAGAAATACTCAATATACTTTTCAAATGGTTCCAAGATTCTTTTAACAGTGTTATGCATATGATGACACATATCTCTCTCAATATCTAAAAGATGAGGGACATGCAGCCTTAAAAGGGTCTCAAAACCTGTTTTTTTACCGCGCATGTAGTTGGTCGAGTCATAGAGATTCAAAATTAGATTATCAGTTGGTATTTCATCATTTAAAAAAAGGCTTTTTATGTAATCAAATAATGTTTTTGCTTTAATTACTGTAAAAGATTTTGAATGGTAATGCTGTACAACTGATACCAAGATAGAGAAAACTTTTTTGTGTGCGTTGTTTAAACACTCATCAACATTTATTGAAAAGTATGATTTACATAAATCTTTTTTTATATTGTCAGCAATATGTGCAGCTAAGCCGTGTCGTAAATTGTAAGAAGCTGTACATCCAGCCATACTCAATGAGGTTAAAACTTTATTGTCTTTGGCAAGCACTTGCGATAATCTTATTATTGCAGGTGTGAGACAAAATGCTAGTGAATGTTCAGCAACAAAAGAAAGAACCATCGCTTCAGCATGTGCTATCCGATCTTCTACTCTTACAGATTTTTTTACAGAACTTTCTATTTTACTTGCACATGCTTGCTTATCATGAACATTTAGAGCAGTGCTGTATGGTAAAGTACAAGTACTTACAACTTTGTTTTTTGTAAATATCGACAAGAGAATAGTGTTGGTTTGTGCAATATTTATTTTTTCTTTGTGCGATTTATTTTTAGAGTGGTTTTTTAAGTCTTTTTTACCGCTATTTTTATAGGACAAAAGTACGTTACAAATGCTGCAAAGAACTTTTCCAGGAATATTTATCTTGCGTATATAACCAGATAAGAAAGTTCCATTTTTGTCTTTTTCTTCTAACTAAGACCAGCAAAAAGTATTCTTTATTCCAACTTCTAATTCTTGTAAACTTGTGCATTCACTTCTTTGTAATTCTTTAAAAGTAGCCATTTTGAAAATAATTTTGTATTCTAAAATAATATGAGTGGTACACAACTGAGTACTACTATTTATAAACAAGTACCACTGACTTTTTTCTAACACTGGAGATGATAATTAAAAGCTAAATAATTAAAATGTTTTTTAAATGAATTTAAGGCCATATGAATGAATGGACGTTTAATGCGTTGTTTAACAGGTACACCGCTGCAGGTAACAGCTGTGACATTGGGAATACTTTTATTTTATTATTTTTTAAATGACGACTGTCTGTAATATTCACACAAAAACTTTATAAAGTATTGTAATTCATTTACATTAACTGTAACTGTATAAGAAAAATTTAAATAATTTAAATAATTTATAGATATGGTTTATATAATATAAACTATATGTATAAAAATAAACGGTACTCGTAAATAAAAATTTTGTTACAAAAGCTGTGAGCAAGGTTTAAAAAAACGCAGCGGTGAGGCGTACGCTTTTTTAAACCTTGACTATTATCAAGTTTTAAAAATGTTTGCAAAAAGCGTACGCCTCACCGCCTCACCACTGAGTTTTTTTAAACCTTGGTTGTGAGAGAAATCAGTTTTTGATTTCTGTCATATAGGAGAAATATTGTTAAATTTAAACCCTTTAAATATTAGTAAAATCTATTTCTAGAGAGTAGTGAAACAATGTATAGTTTGATCTACAAATAAGATAATTGGTATGACCTTCAACTTGTAGAAAATTCTATTAATCTTACAGTTACTATAATACCGTGGTGTATTATTATGGTCGTTCGGTACAACCGGTTTTCGTAAAGGGTGATTAAATCTTATAAAAAAACTTAAACTACTAAGATTAATTATTTTGTTAGTAATAAGTTATTACATACAAATAAGAGTTGTATAATAAAACTATATTATAAACTTAGTTTATTAATTAGGATTTTATTCTTTTAAAGTAATCTAAACGTACATATACATGAAAAAGTAATCTAAACGTACATATACATGACGTTTAGTCAAAATACATATACTTTGACTAAACGTCAAGTGAATCAAATTGCTTTGAAGTGTTATTATTAGGTTTTTATAGGCACGTTTTCTTTTCAATTCAAAAAGCGCTTGTCAAAATTAATTATATTTTCTTTCAATTTCAAAAAAAAATCACTTTTTTAAATCTTTTAAATTTTGAATCACATGAATAAGCACGTAAATCATTAACAATACCTCACCTTTTGTTTTTTGTAGTTAAAGCTTTTTAAATATAGTTTTCTACTTTTTCTTTGACTTCTTTTTCTTCTTCTTATTATTATTATTGTTAAAATTTTATTATTACTATTTCTTTTTTGATGAAAAAATATGTAGTGTTTTATTCATAGATATAGTTAAACTGATGTAATATTATAGTAATATAAAAAAATGGAGAGCATGCCCCCTTGTTAACATCTTCCCTCCTTGTTAACATCTCTATTTTTCTATATTTCGGATTTTTTCCCGATATTACTAAAAAGTTTTGCCAGATTTTTTCCGGATATTCAAGGAAAAAAAATTTCCAGATTTTTAAAATATAGTGAAGATAATCTATGATATATATATATATATATATATATATATATATATATATATATATATATATATATATATATATAT